GTCTTGTCCTGGTCTTGAATAAGCAGATCTTTTACTATGGCAGGTTACAAACAGCCATTTTGGTGGAAAATAATACATATACAGAGAGAGAGAGAGAAGGTAGTATGATACATAATTAAGTGTTAAGCTAAGCTTTGGGGATACTAGAACAAAAAATGATCAAAATCAGCTCATGGGATGTTCTAGCACATCTTTAACTCATGTGTCTGCATGAAACATCATCTCTACTTTCAAGAATCAATTCCTTGGCATTTGTGTACTCATCTGATTTAGTGTGATCTAAAAGGATAAACACAAAAAGTTTCAATAAAATTTGAATTCCTTTTTTGGTTCTTCAAAGGTAAGGGTTTTTTGTTTTGTTTTGTTTTGAATTCATTCTGAGTACAGGTTTTGTTGGGATTAGAAACGGGTGACATACGGCCGGGCACGGTGGCTCACGCCTGTAATCCCAGGACTTTGGGAGGCCGAGGCTGGGTGGATCACGAGGTCTAGGAGCTCGAGACCAGCCTGGCCAATATGGTGACACCCCAGCTCTACTAAAAATACAAAAATTAGCCAAGCATGGTGGCTCGCACCTGTAGTCCCAGCTACTCGGGAGGCTGAGGCAGAAGAATCACTTGAACCCAGGAAGCAGAGGTTACAGTGAGCCGAGATGGTGCCAGCCTGGGTGATAGAGCGAGACTACGCCTCCAAAAAAAAAAAAAAGGAAACAGGTGGCATATGAATATTTGGTATTGCCACAGGGAGTTTGCGTATCAACAGATAAAAGGAATTTTCCAATCACACAATGATATATTGCAATCACATGAAAAATAGCTTTTTCAATTTCTCTTAGTGAGAAACACTTTTCAAAAGTCCTAAGAATTAGAGAGCCTCAAGCCCAACACACCTCTTCAATAACCCATTGTGTGGTGATTATTCCACAAAATGGTTTGGGATATACATAAACGTACGTTTATTTTCCTAAGAGCCACAGTAAATAGTTTAACCAATCAGGTTTCAAACCTCTGTTATAAATTAAGAATCAATAAATTCTTGAATTGCTTAAATGTTTTCCGATTTTGGAAAATGAAATTGGGTATTTATTTCTGCCACATCTGCCATCAGCAAGAAGGGCACAAAATAAAATAAACATTGGCACCAAAAAAAGCTTACTTCTTCCCCATATTTTCTATTGGAAAAATAAGATTTGTTTTCCAGTAAGATATTTCACTTTTTACAAAAAATCTGCTTCTACTCAAGGCTGGGATTCTATTTATTTTTAACTGAGGCCCACGAAACCTCCCAAGTGCAACTCAGATTTACATCTGGCTAATCCTCCAAATATGACCAGCCAAATTCACACTATTTCATTTTTCTTTTTTTTTGAGACGGAGTCTCGCTCTGTTGCCCAGGCTGGAGTGCAGTGGCGTGATCTCGGCTCACTGCAACCTCCGCCTCTTGGGTTCAAGCAACTCTCTGCCTCAGCCTCCGGAGCAGCTGGGATTACGGTGCCCGCCACCACACCCGGCTAATTTTTGTATTTTTAGTAGAGACGGGGATTCACCATCTTGGCCAGGCTAGTCTTGAACTCCTGACCTCAAGATCCACCCGCCTCGCCACCCAAAGTGCTGGGATTACAGGCATGAGCCACCATGCCTGGTCCATGCTGTTTATTTCTAATGAGTTCTGTGATTTTTGGATAACACATGTGAAAGATAGCAAATTAACTACTGCTAGTCGGCAGCATGCAAGCAAAAACTGTCTTGGGAAGCCAGTGTGAGCAAATCCTGCAAGTCAATTTCTAATCACACTTGCCAGAAACTTGGGACGGAAAGGTGATAAACCCTGCCAAGAAAATTAGTAGTAGGACTTGTTTCCCTTTCCTTTTTCCATGGACTATTTCAACACTCAACCAACAAATACAGCCCAACCTTTCCTTTCCATAATTTCAGAGACTGCAAGGAAGGCTCTGGTCTCATTGATAGTCTTAGAAAAATTAAAAAGCCTCGCACTGCAAAATGTAGTATCAGTCTCTCGAGTTCATTTCCTGGAGCTATAGTCATTTACAGGAAAGAGAATGAAGGTGAAAGAGGGTGTCATTTGTGTGCTTTTAAAAATGCATATTCTGCCCAAGACACCTACAGGTGAGTAGACAAACCACATTCAAATCTCCGTACCTAGACAAAAACGGGCCAGAAATACTGCAGAAAGAGTCAGCAGAAGCTCAAAACAACAGACAAAAAGAGCTAGAGATGGCAGAAAAAAACTCCCCCAAACCAGGTCGCTAATGGTTTAAGAACCAGAGTTTGCAAAGCACTTACTTGTTTGAAGGGTAAGACCCCCGAGTGCATTCTTGCAGGATATTTTCACCTTAGTTTCCCAACTGAATCCCAAACCAAACACAAGTCTTTGCCAGTGGTTTTGGACCATGACTGCAATAAGAATCACCTGAAGCACCTTTAAATCTTGCTGTTGCTGGGATGACCCACTAACCCCACCCACAACCCAAGTGAAACCAGAATTTCTTGGCGTCAGGCCAGGGTACCAGCATCTTTCAAAGCCCTCCTGAGTGATTTGACTGTGCTGCCAGCAGTTGAGGACCACAACTTTATAAGTATGCTTATTAAAAAAGAAGCTGATTTCCCTATCAAATACGCCCAGATCTCTAATTTGACTGCTCCAGAAAATCATGATCACCACTTCCATTCCCTGCTCTCCAACACACTTCCTAATGCAGCAGCAGTCTGTGTGTGCTGCCCTCCACAGCTAGAAATGGAAGGTGGCTTGGCACAGGCCCCAGAAGGCAATAGAAAGCTGGACCCCATCTTGGTGACCCAAGTGTGTAAGCACATCATCTCAGGATATACTGTGATGTTAAACACAAAGACAAATGCAAAATAGGGTGTGTAAAGAGCATAAAATGTTGGTTTCCTTTAGACCAGTGTTCCTTTAACTCTACTATGCATTGGAATCACCTGGAAGGCTTGTTAAACCACTACACTCCCAGAACCACTGATTCAGTCAGTTGTAGGGTCTAATTATTTCCATCTCTTACGAGTTAGCAAGTGATGCTGATGCTGCTGGTCTTAGGACCAAATTTTGAGAATCACTGCTCTAGATTCAACTTCTGGCATCTTCGGACATTTGAAATGCCAAACAAATCTGTTTTTGTTAGAATCTCTCTATATAATTATATTCCAATTATAATTGGAATATTGAACACTAGTTGGATATTTGATATGAAGGACTTAACTACTGTTTGAGGATGTTTTTTGTTTTGGCTGGGGGGAGCTCTTGGTAATTTTGTTGTTGTTGTTGCTATTGTTCTTTGTTTTGTTTTTT